AAATAGTGCAAATTGAGTCCACTTTTAGGGTTAGTGTTAGGGAATCATGGGAACTGTTTTTTATTGTAGCACCAGAGCTCTCTGACAGAGAAGGCTCAATGTCTCAGGAAAAAAAAACAATTCCCATGATTCCCTAGCATTAACCCTAACCCTTAAAGTGGACTCAATTTGCACTATTTCTAGCAGTCTGCAACCCCCCTAAGGTCCAAAGCACACTACAGAAATAATCCAGTTTGAGACCATTTTAACTGTCCTGGCTCAATGCTAGGGAATTCTGGGAACTGTAGTTTTGTGAGATATGTAATCTTCACTGCCAGAGAGCTCTGGTGCCACAATAAACTACCATTCCCAGGATTCCCTAACACTGAGTGAGCCAGGGCAGTTAAAGCGGTCTGAAACTGGATTATTTCTGCAGTGTGTTTTGGACTAAAGACACACAACAATAAAGTTTATCTTTGGGCGAAATTTCAGTAGGAAAATTTGAGACTAATACTTTTATCTAGGATTGACCAAACTGTTACAAAACAGGGGTAAGCTTTTGAATTCTCTCGTCTAGAAATTTTGATCAGATGGAATCATGAGTCCAATAAAGGTAGTATGGGGTGTAGAAAAAGCTGGACATGGTGTTATTTGCTCAGTCTGTATTTTATAAGTCTTTAGATGGAGTGCAGCCGGACTAAGGGGGATATGATGAGATTTGTCTCACTTGATATTTCTCTGTGCATCAAGGGACTAAGTGTAATTTGCTGTTTTATTCTGTCTGAAAATATAAAAGGCTGAATCCTAGAAGGTCCCTTCCCTGAACAGGAGGACTTGAGAGATCTATCAGACATTCCCTCTGTAGTCTTCAGTGCTACTTCCATTAACCCTCTGGAGCATGGTGAAGAAGGAATCAGTCTAAATCAGGGGTAGGCAACCTTTTTGAGCCGGGGGCCAAGTTGCTGTCCCTCAGACAATTGGGGGGCCGAAGCACCAAAATTAAATAAATAAATACATTAAAATAAAAATAAAAAAAATAAAAATATATATGCATGCACACTCTCTCAGCCCCAGAAAAGCCATGGCAAAACCCCTGTGGAGATTTTGCCAAGAAAACCCCAAAAACAAGTAATAACAACAATAATCAATATCATCATGGTGGGTGGCGGCGGCGGCAGCAGGACTTTCCTGGGGCCGGTCCAAAGGCCTCGGGGGGCCGCATCTGGCCCCCAGGCCTTAGGTTGCCTACCCCTGGTCTAAATTAAAAAAAAAAAAGTGTTGGGACACATAAAAAAAATTAATCGATGTGCGGCAGATAATTTTTGTCTACCTCATTCCTCCTGTAAGAGTGGTCTAAAACACATTGCAGAAATAATCCAGTTTGAGACCACTTTAACTGCCCTAGCTCAATGCTAAGGAATTTGGGGAACTGTAGTTTTGTGAGACACAGCCTTCTCTGTCAGAAACCTCTGGTGCCACAATAAACTATAATTCCCAGAATTCCCTAGCACTGAGCCAGGGCAGGTAAAGTGGTCTCAAACTGGATTATTTCTGCAGTGTGTTTTGGACCAGTGTCTTGCAACCAATGGAGCAGTAGGAAAGTCAGCAACCCTTCCCCAACATACTCCATAACTCAAGTAGAATCCCATCTTTAGGTGACAGAAAATAATTTTTCTTCAGTTGTAAAGTTCTTGTTCTGACTTTTTCTAGTCCTTACAGGCCTTTGCAGACTGCCAGAAATAGTGCACATTATTTCTGCAAATAGTGCACTGCCCTGGCTCAGTGCTAGGGAATCATGAGAATTGTATTTTTTTCTGAGACATTGAGCCTTCTCTGTCAGAGAGCTCTGGTGCCACAATAAATTACAGTTCCCATGATTCCCTAGCACTGAGCCAGGGCAGTGCCTCAATTTAATGTGCACTATTTCTGGCAGTCTGCTTAGGCCGTACCTTTGTTTCACTTATCATTCAATTTGGTCCAGAGTGCTGGAGAGCCTGAACTTTTGCCCACAGTGCTTTGTCAATTTGCCTTACCTTCATAGAAGGTATTGTTGGACTTTTTAAACCTTTAATGGAAAGTGGCCCTTCCCAAATAATTCTTCAGTGGTCCTGAGCTGTTCGGGAAACAAGCCCTGTCTCTGGATCAAGTACTGGCAACCCTACCAAAGGATCATAAATGTGAGATGAATGGGCATAAAATGCAGTGGACATTATTAGGTGGACCTGCACTGTAGAAATAATGCAGTTTGATGGTGCTTTAAGTGCTGTAGCTCCATCCTAAAGAATCCTGTATTTTTACAATGTCATTTGCCTTCTTTGCCAAAGAGTGCTGGTGCCTCACAAAACTACAAATCCCAGGACTGTGTAGGATAGAGCTATGGCAGTTAAAGTGGTATCAAACTATATCATTTCTACAGTGTAGATACATCCTAACCTGACATTTTCAGGCTAAATCCAGTTTATGTTTCTAATTCAGTATGGAATCCTGGGACTGGCAGCGGAAGAGGGGCTTTTAAAAGCCTCATCCTGGGAACTCCTGTGGCACCTCTGACCAAACTATAAATCCTAGGATTCCATAGGATAGGCCATGGTAGTTTAAATAGAACCATACTGGTATAATAGTGCTGTGTGAAAGGGCCTTGAATTGTCAGGAACATGGCAATTCAACCCTTAAGGAGTTCTGTTGCTGCAAGCAAAGGGTTTGCTTTAGTTGGACTAACAACCGGATTTAGGTTTTATTGTTTCACTATTTTGCTCCCCCTAATTTAGTGTTAAACTAGGAATGATTTCCATGTGTACAAGCACCGCCACATCATTACCTCCATAAACTAGTACTAATAGTAAACAGCTGTTATTTTTACATATGGACAGCAGCACACAAAATTTGGCTATGTAGATGTGGAAAGTCTGGAAGAAATCTCCATCATCAGCTAGAAGGGAAAGATGTATGAGTGAAGGTAACACTTACATGGGGCTCCCATGATCAAAATCACTCCAGTTATTTATACTTGGGTGGTCAATATTTGTTGGATTGAATGGAAACATGACTGTGTGAAGAGAGGTTTATTGGATGCTTGTTTGTTTAACCAATATTAACCAATATGCTTTTAAAAATGGGGTTTAAAAAGCCAGATCTGAGTTTCCAGATACATTTAATTTGGATGACAAAATGAAAAGGACCCCTTCACTTGCCCTGCCTGGGTAAATACAAACAAGCAATGTGAAATGCGCTGTGGGGAATGTGCAAGAGGAAAGTGGGCTGTGTACGGGAACCCTTGATTGTATCTTACAGCAACTCCACACGCAATTAAAACATGCATCACAGCTAACAGAATAAAAAAACAAACAAGGACATTGCTTGAGAAACTTTTTTTTTAAGCAGCAGGAGTTGTGGTTGCATGGAACATCAGGGATAGAACACATACTTTGAATGCAGAAAGTCCTGGTAAAATCTCTACGTTCTCCAATTAAAGATAGCAGTGCCGGAAAAACATCTTCCTGAAATTGTGGCATGTCACCATGTATTCTGATTTGGTATAAAGCAGCTTCCTATGGTTACTCTTCTCTGATCTGCATGAGCACCTTATTTTGTCTCCAAAGAAAGGGACAGCAAGTGTTGTATCTGTGTAGTGCTTGTTTTGTGTTGTGCAATAAGGGGTATAAAGATACTAAGTATGCCACCAGTTTTGGCTGTTCTATGCTGGGTGCCGACTCCATTTTGGAATATGACTCTTGATAAAACACTTTACTTTTCTTTTTCTGTCCTCCCTTTCGTACATTATATGAATATTCAGTTTATTCTTGAAACAGTTTGCACAGACTAAGACAAACAGGTTGACTACCTATAAATAGGTAGGCTGCAGTCCAATAAGCCTGGATTTCATAGAATGTTTCAGAGAGGCCTGTACATTATGACTATAACACTTCATCCTCCTTTTTCTGCTACCATAGGCTGATGTTGTCAGTCTGGCCCTATATTTCATTGAGATAATCCTGGTCAGCATATATCAGAAACCCAGTGAAAAGGCTGTCGGTCCAGTAGGGATCGTAAAAGAGTCCATTTTGTTCTGAGTAGAATATCTGGAGCCAGACCTCATCGTTCCGCTTCAGGGGGAGGATAGTTGATCCAGAAGCCACATCATGGTTACCAGTGTTGGCATCAAAGGTTTTTATCCTGTACTGCCCGTTGTGCACCAGCCCAATTGCCAAGTGTTTATTGGCCAAAGTGATATCATAGGTGAAGTAGTAGATGCCAGGGATACTGCATATAAATTTTCCACTTGAAGTGTTGTAATTCCCACCTTCGTTCATGAGGATCCGGTCAAATTTGATGGGTAGGCGCTCTCTTGGGTAACTTTTGGTCACGGCAACTGAAAAAGCTGATTTGGCTTTGTTGGCCCCACAGCTGCAGGGGCCCGGCATCCCTGGATCCCCCTGTCCTCCTTTGGGCCCTTTCTTTCCTGGTCCTCCACTTTTTCCAGGGTTTCCTTTCAGGCCCCTTGAACCGCGAGGGCCAGCTTTGCCAATTGCTCCTGCTTTCCCTTTTGGTCCTGGCTTGCCTGGATTTCCAGTCTTGCCTTGCAGACCTAAGACAAAAATTAATTTCAGTGAGAGTTCAGACAAGTGAAGTATAACAGGAAAGATGTTCACTAACAGGTCCTTCCCATTGTGGTCGTCTGAGCCATTGTCACAATCTTAAAAGTGCTGTTTTAATCTTATCTGTGCAGTTTGATTGTGCTCTAAAATTAGTATATGTTCAGGGTGACCACAAAGGAGGGCAAGGCACTACAAAATGTAGGACATTCGTGAAAAAACGTAGGGCATTGCCCAACTAAAAGCACAACTAGAAGTATAAATTCATTTCATATGGCTTATTTACAGCTATATTGCATATGCTCTTCTTGTTGTTGCTGTTGTTTGCCTTCAATAATTTCCAATTTATCATGGGGTTTTCTAGGGCTGAGAGTGTGTGATGTGATGAGCTCCCAAGTTTCTCTGTTATACTCACCCAATAGGTGTCCATGGCAGAGCGGGGAATTGAAGCCTGATTTCCAGAGTCATAGATCAATGCTCAAACCACTATGCCACACTGTCTCTGCATATTACATATATTATATTTTATTATTTCTGTTGTTGCATGTCTTCAAGTCATTTCTGACTTGGCAACCCTAAAGTGAACTAAAGTGGGATTTTCTTGGCAAGAGTGTTCAGAGGAGATTTACCATTGCCTTCTCCTGAGGCTGAGAGCATGTGACTTGCCCATGTTCCCCAGTGGGTTTCATGGCTGAGCTGAGAATTCAACCCTGGTCTTCAGAGTTTTAGCTGAACATTTTGGAATTCCTCCTCGACAGAATTTTGAAATGTAGGACGTCCCAGAAAAAGAAGACATCTAGTCACCCTTTATACATTTCCATTGCGTACACAGAGAAACAGGTTCCACACCCTTTTTAATCAAGCATTTTTCAACAGAACAAAGATGAAGCAGAAATTAACTCCTGCATCAAAAAATATTTCATAGAGAAGTGGAAGAAGTGGAATCACAGAATCACAGAGCTGTAAGAAACCACCAGGGCCGTCCAGTCCAACCCCCTGCCATGCAGGAATGGGTATTCCTGCATGGCAGGGGTGTGGACTGGATGGCCCTGGTGGTCTCTTCCAGCTCTACGAGTATGATTCAATCAAAGCATCCCCAATAGATGGCCATCCAGCCTCTGTTTAAAGTTCTCCAAAGAAGAAGACTCCACCACTCTCTGAGGGAGTGTGTCCCACTGTCGAACAGATCTTACTGTTAGAAAGTTCCTCCTATGTTTAGGTAGAATCTCTTTTCGTTGCATCCATTGTTTCAGGTTTTGGAGCAGCAGAAACCATCCTCAATATGACACCCCTTCCAATATTTAAAAAGGGCTGTCATATCACCTTATCTTCTCATAGCCCTCCCTCCATTCCATCCAGTGTCATCTGGGGGAGAGACACTAGGCCCAGCAACATCGGGCCTAGAATAGGAAGGAGGGATGGGATTTGAATTTGATTTATCTGCTTTGTTGTTTGAAAATGCTGTATGCTGCCCCGATTGCCTAGCAGAGGGGCGGGATATAAATAAAAATTATTATTATTATTATTATTATTATTATTATTATTATTATTATTAGTGCATGGTTTCCAGAGTAGGGAAAGAGGAAGACCATATTACAGATTGCTTGATTCAATTCAAGGAAGCCATGGCCTTTTCCAGTCCCAAGGAAAACTGTTGATGGAAGGTCTTGGAGGCCATCACAAGTCAAAGACAACTTAACACCAAATAACAATAAAAATGTCCAGTGGTCCCTTCCCATTTGGAGGGATTTGGTTTTAGGCCCACACATGAGCTGCAGCACTTAAAGTGGGATTGAACTGAATTATTTCTACAGTGTAGATGCACCATTAGTCGCGTAATGTCCAAACCCAGTTGCTAGTCCCAACTAAAATAAACCTGTAGAACCAGTGAGAGTTACCAAAATTTTAACTTCTTATTCAGCAGTTGATTCAATGAATTTACATTCATTGAGGCTAGTAATGAGAGAGAGGCTAGTAATTAATTGTGAGAGCTGGACAGTTAAGGAAGATGATAGGAAGAAAATCAATTCCTTTGAGATGTGATGCTGGAGAAGTGCTGAGGATCCCATAGACAGCCAACAGGACAAACATATGGGTCTTAGAGGAGATCAAACCGGAAACCTCCCTGGAAGCCAAGATGACCAAACTGAGTCTGTTGTACTTTGAACACATCATGAGAAGAGAGGACTCTTCGGAAACAATAATGCTGGGGAAGGTGGAGGGAAGTAGGAAGAGAGGAAGGCCACATGCTAGATGGATGGACTCTATTAAGGAGGTCACGGCTATGGGATTGTAGGAATTAAGCAGAGCAATGGAGGACAGAGGGGCTTGGAGATGTCTCATCCATAGGGTTTCCATGAGTCGAGATTCACTTGAGGGCAGTTAACAGTAACAAAACTAATTAGATGTAGGACACTCTGTGTTTCTGCTTGCAGAAACAGCCTCATGTTCCCACTCAAAACACTCTTGATGGTAGAAGGGCTGTGTGTTGGGGGAGTGCAATTTCCAGCAATGTAGCCCTCCCTCTGAAGCCTGTAGCAGATTTAGAGAAAAAAATTGTTGTTGTGTACCTTCACGTAATTTCTGAGTTTAGGCAACTCTAAGGCAACCCTATTATGAGGTTTTCTTGGCAGAATTTATTCAGAATGGGTTTGCTTTTTTGACTTCCTTCAGCTCAGTCAGTGGGTTTACATGCCGAGTGGGGATTCAAACCTTGGTCTCCTAGTCCAACACCTAAACCATTACAGCACACTGGCTTTACAGAGGGTTGCATTCCTACTGAGATGCAGAGTAGGACATTGTCTCTTACCTTCTTCTCCCCTCTCTCCTTTCTCCCCATCCTTTCCATCTTGTCCATCTTTCCCTGGCAAACCCATCTTTCCCATATTCCCAGGTGCACCTCGAGGTCCAGGTATACCTGGAGGGCCTTGTGGGCCAGGCAAACTGCATATGAGTTGCTTGGACCCTTTCTGGATTTCTGCTTTTAGAAAGCTACTGAGAAGCTGATTGGCAACACAGGGTACAATCCAGACAAACAGAACAAGGAAGATCATGGTGACACCTGTAAGAAATTAAAGAGAAGCTGTTATAACAACATTGTATTGCAGCAGGCACCAATGGATGCGTTCATTTTAGAGAACAGAAGAATTATCGGATTAAATCCATAAGTCCTTGGTGAAAGCTCAAACTACTCTTAATTGAATAGGGCTGGCTTTCTTGAACAGTTAGATTATGGAGCTGCCTAGCTGGCACAGTTTTATTAGGACAGGAGTGGGCAGAAAGTTCATCTTGATCAACTAGTAGATCTCTGGGTGGTGTACTGTAAATAAGCAATTTTTTTTTTACTTTCTTCTCCTTAACAGCAGTAATGAAAATGACTCCCTTCCTGCCCTAAATTATACTGTTGAAATGGGAAAAGTTTGGGTTTAACCAGGATAGCCTTTTGTTTGGTAGGATAGTGAGGTTTATTTCATTCTCATATTTAAAACCAATTCTGAACCACGCAGTTCAATCTAAGGAGTTTATCACACTTACTTTTGTTAACAATCTGGGAACGGGATGGGGACACGCATGAATGTGCGTGACCAAGGGAAAATGGATTTTATCACACTCAAAACAGTCGGCAAGCCATCCCCATGCTCTCATTGGACCACCCATCCCTGAGCTGCGCTGAGTTGGCCGATATTGCTCAGCCAGAAAGCTTCCATCCCTGCAAAATCAGCCAGGTCACCACAGCTCGAGGATTTGTGGTTGAGCAACAGCATGGGGACAGCTTGCCGACTGTTGTCGAGTGTGATAAAATCCACTTTCCTTTGGTCACGCACATTCACGCACATCCCCAGCCTGTGCGTGGATTGTTAACAAAAGGAAGTGCGATAAACTCCCTAGTGTATGTCTTTTGCACCATACTCACATTGTTGGATTGATGCTAGGGATTTAACTAAAAAACCAAAGTTTGATTACGCTAAAATCTGGTCGTCCTGTTCTAGGAATACTGTAATGTATGCATCTATTATCTCACAAGACCTGCAAGTGTCTATAATGTCATGGAGTTCTTTTCATGCTGGAAGAAACAAACCAGTGGGGGTTAATATTGTTGTTGTGTGTCTTCAAGTCATTTCTTATTTATGGTGACTCTAAGGCAACTCTATCATGGGGTTTTCTGGGGCTGAGAATGTGTAATTCATCCAAGATCACCCAGTGGGTTTCCACGGCAGAGCAGGAAATTGAACCCTAATATTCCTAGATGTAGTCCAACACTGAAATCATTACACCACGCTGGCATGCTGCTGCATAATCCACAATTACATTAGCAAACCTTTCCCTATTTCTTGAGTAAATATCATCTTGCTCAAACATCCACAAAAGGTCTCATGGCATTTTAGAGATTAACAAGTTTTAATTGACATAATTTTTTGTAGATTCCAACCCACTTCATTAGGTTAAAGTTAACTGCAATTCAGAAAAATCTTTTGCTGTTAAAACTTGTCAGTGTTCTAGGTACAACAATAATCTTGTTGATTTTGTAGCAACTGTATTATAATGCTACCCCTCCTCCAGTTGTTTCTGACATTCAGCTCTTTATTCATTCTCTTTCTACCAGAGAAGCAAATTCCTGGAAAGATCTTACTTGTGCCTACACTTTCTATCTCGGGACTCATGACAATCCTGTGGATGAGAGATCTCTAAGCTCCCCTGTCCTCCACTTCTCTGCTTAGCTCTTGTAGATTCAGGCCTGTGTCCATCCTAGTTGAGTCTAGACATCTGGCGTGTGGTCTTCCTCTCTTTCTATCTTTCCTAGTATTATTGTCATTTTAGTGAGCCATGCCTTCTCATGATGTGGCCAAAGTATGACAGTCTCAGTTCCATAATCTCGGCTTCCAGGGAGATAACAGGCTTGATCTGTTCATTTGTTTGTCTTTTTGGCTGTCCATGGAATCCTCAGCACTCTTCTCCAAAACTACATCTCAAAAAAGCTGATTTTCTTTTTATTTGCTTTCTTCACTGTCCAGATTTCACATCCATACATGGTGGCTTGGATGATTCTAATTTTAATGCTCAGTTGTATATCTTTACATTTTAGGATCTTGTCTAGTTCTTTCATGGTTGCCTTCTCATTCTTGTTTTCTTATTTCTCGACTACAGTCTCCATTCTGATCAACGTTTGATCCAAAGTCTTTAACTATTTTGATTTCTTCATTGGCTAGGTTAAATTTATGTATTCCTTCTATGGTCATTTTTTTGTTTTGTTTTGTTCAGCAGATAAGCCTTCCTTTGCACTTTCTTCTTTAATCTTCTTTGGTAATTGTTCCAAGTTTATGTTATGTTCCAAGTAGATGTTTTCCACTAGTAATATGGTGTCATCTGCATATCTTAAACTATTGATGTTCCTTCCTCTTGTCTTCACTCTTTTTTCTTCTAAGTCTATTTGTATAATGCTTTCTCTGTACGAGTTGAATAACTAGGGTGCTAGAATGTAGCCTTGCCTGACTCCTTTGCCA